CGGTCGTTCAGCTTCGAGTTAGCAAGGAATCAAGCGAGGGCGCGGCAAACGGCGCCACACGTCGCTGACGACATGGCAGCACGGAGCGATCCGAACAAAAAGCCTCAACTTTTACACGACCGGGTCTGGAGATACGACTGATGACCGGTACATTGTAAAAAAAATGGTGAAAACTATTAAAACCTTTGTAATTTCGCTACTCCCCGAGTATAACGACATATAATGTCGAGGCTGACAATTAAAATGTTTTAAACTTTCCGTAAAATTGTTGTAAAGCTGTGGTGTAATCACGATGTCACGTTATCTCCGGCCAGGCCATGGCAGCTGTCCGTAAAATTCGAGTTTTTTGGGGCACATGGGACATGGTCGCTAGGGGTACTATTCTCAGGTAATATGAGGGTTACTGGTCCTAGGGGTGGTCCAGTTCCCCAATTCCATTTTTATTTTTTTGTTTCCGCTGGCTCCCCCCGTCCCCCCGACGCCACTTTTCCCCACGCCCCCACTCCCCTTGCAGGTTCCCTTTGCATCTCCTCGTCCTGCTCCTCGTCATCCTCCACTTGCCTCCACCTCATTCCTCCTCCCTCTACTCTCTTCCAAACTTGTTTGTTCGCTCTCTGTCGTGGATCGGCCTCCACTTGCCTCTCTGACCCTCTGCGACTCTCTGACTTGTCCGTGCTGGTGCCGTGTGTCGTTCAATGTGTTGAGTTGGTACGCAGTGCACGAGTAAGAGCAAGGGCTGCCCACCGAAAGAGACCGTTTGGAGGGATAAACGCGCTTTGGTTGCAAAGAAACGTTCGGAATCACAACAAACATCAGGTCGGCAACCCGCCAAGCAAAGGCTGGCTCAAAGCATCCTCACACGAATTTATACGTATGCAAACCATGGTGGCAGAGACTATGAGACTGAACGAAGGCTCACTTGAAGACGCCATCGCCTCACTCTTTCCCGAGGACGCCCCGCTGAAATTTCCTGTCCTATCACCTTGGAATGCAGCTGCCCAGGACGGCGACTGGCTTGTCACCATCCCAGCACAGTTTCTCACTTCAGAAAGTTGCAACGAGATCACATTGTCTTTGTCTAAGCACGCTAATAACACTGAAAGTACTCATGAAACTGCAAAGGAGCCAAGCACAGGTCGGATGCTCTCGAAAACAGAACTCATAGCTCTTCCAACATCTGCAGGCAGTGTGGGGCCGATTTCTTCCGAGAGCGAACATCAGGAATCAAACACGGACGGAGACTCGGCCAGCAGCGTGTCCTCTGCAAGCCCAAGCCCCGACTGCCTCCTTGCCCCTCCTTCTCAAGACGCTTTCGTCTCATCACCGCCACCGCCCGCAGCAAATGGCGGGTCTCGAAAGTCCAAGGCATCGTCGAGCAACTACCAGTGGAGCAGGGAGGAGCACAGGAGGTTTGTCGACGCGTTGGAGAAGCTGTCGCCTCTGAGGCAGATGCTTGCGAGCCATGGGAGGGTGACGATAGGGCTGGGGCACGGGCTAGCGGAGATGATATCGAAGGCTGTAGGGACGCGGTCGATCTCGCAGGTGCGGTCGCATGCGCAGAAGTACTTCCAACGGATCAACAGGGAGCGAGGGTATGAAAATTGATGGTAATCTTCCAGTGCTTGCAAGTTATCGGAGGTCAAGCCTTTGTATCCGGCCGTTATCAAAATATTCACATACTCAAAATATTCAGAAGACATGCAACAGTCAATATTGCTCGTGTGTGACTGTTTGGCGTATGTTTTTCCTTTCGTGTATTTTAGCAAAGTTGACACGATAAAAAGCCTGATCGGACTCAAAGTAGAACTCCCAACTCTGAGTGTACTCTAGTACAGGCGCGGCCGGCTCCACCGAATGACCCTGGATCAGACTGCCGGTTACTTGAACCATGCCATGATGATGTCCACGGAAGTGATCGAGTGATCGTACGTGACGGTATCACCGCTGTCCGGAGTGCCACTGGCTAGTATAGTATGGTTGTCACTGCCAGACAGCGATGAGTAGTTCCTTGTACGGTAGTAGCACTCAGTGACTCACGGTGACGGCGCCGCGCGTGGCGCCGCGCATCGGCGGCGGAGAGTCCGAGGGCCGAGGAGGCTGAGCGGCCCACCGTCACCGTGACGGCCGGGCCGGGCGCTGGGCACACAGCACTTGGCTCAGCCTGCCGAGACTCAGAGGTCACCCGCCGCCGTCGCGGCGCACCGTGGCACCGTGACGGTGACTGCCGCAGCCTGGCAGTGAGCGGCGCCGCGACCGTTCGACTGAACTTGGCAACTTGGCAACCCGGTTGAACGGCGTGCGGACGGTGCCAAGGTGCCGCGCCGGTGCAGTGCCGGGCAACTCACAGCCTATGTGACGGTCAACTTCAGAGTTCGGGTTTGCCGAGCTTGCGGGTAATGCCGTGACAACCAGACAGCAAACGGTTCCGTCTCCGACCGTCAGACTCGGGCAACCTCGTGTAGCCGAAATGAAAAGACTTGATTTCGATTGATCAGCTGAAGGCCATAAAATCTTTAAAAATTGAGTTATTAACACTGATCAACGCAGCGAAGCCCGAAGGAGGCAGGTACCACTACAGTAAAGCGCGAAATCCCGGTACAGAGCACGCAGCGGTCCCATGCTCTTCGCAACGAGGATGCCTCAGCTGTCCAAGGAGGCAAATGAACGTGATCTCGAAGACGCCATCGCCTCACTCTTCCCCGAGGATGGCTCTTTCAAGCCTCCGGCTAAAACAGCTTGGCATGCAGCTTATGCTGCCGCAACAACATCAGACGGCGACTGGCTCCTCACCATCCCAGCACAGTTCCTGACCTCAGACAATGAGACCCTGACAGAACGAAATGATCTCTATCACTATTCTACTTTTGAGGATACACGTTCAGATGCGGAAGGCCCTCTTTCTGACTACACAGACGACTGCTCGCAAGACGGAGACTCGGCCAGCAGCGTGTCCTCTGCAAGCCCCGACTGCCTCCTTGCCCCTCCTTCTCAAGACGCTTTCGTCTCATCACCGCCACCGCCCGCAGCAAATGGCAGGTCTCGAAAGTCCAAGGCATCGTCGAGCAACTACCAGTGGAGCAGGGAGGAGCACAGGAGGTTTGTCGACGCGCTGGAGAAGCTGTCGCCTCTGAGGCAGATGCTTGCGAGCCATGGGAGGGTGACGATAGGGCTGGGGCACGGGCTAGCGGAGATGATATCGAAGGCTGTAGGGACGCGGTCGATCTCGCAGGTGCGGTCGCATGCGCAGAAGTACTTCCAACGGATCAACAGGGAGCGAGGGTATGACTGACATTGATCACCGGACTGGAGACTGCTTCTGATTTCTGTACTACATTCATGTATTTCTTCTCCTTTTTGGCTTTTTACTACCTTGTTTGATAATCTGTCACTTGAGTACAGTATGATCCTTCGAACCGTCTCAGTGACAGTGATGCAGCGCCAACTTGAAGTGAATCACTGTAGCACTACTCAAACTGCAAGCCCTCTGAGTCTTTTTCAAATTTTTTGCTATCAGATGATTACTGTATATGATAAAAACAATGCTGTTGTACTATTATCTTTCGAGCAGTGTCACATGCCAGCTTCAGCTTGTTGGCACAGCCGGGCGGCCGCATCATGGCATGACAGTGAAGTTGAACTAAGTTCCGAGGCTTCACACAGTCTCAAGTACCACGCGACGGTCTCAAGTCCGTTCAATGCGGCTGGCAGATTCACCAGGGTCGCCTAACGCGAGAGCGAAATCCAATTTTCAGGGTCTGTCGCAGTAACATCTCAAGATTTCGATTCCGAGCCAATCCCCGGGCCCTCAGTCCGTCGCGTCACGACTCGGAGTCGACTCCCGGAGACTCAGCCGCACCAGTGGATGACAGACTGGCGGACTCAGTTCAAGTTGACGGCTGAGCCGCTGAGCCTCAGACTCCCCGGCGGGGCCGGGCACCGCCACGCGGGCCGCCGGGGCCCGGCATGTGGCCAGGGCCTGAAGACGGTACGGAAACGGTGACTCACAGCCTGCCGTGACGCCGCCGCGCAGTGCCAGTAACCGCTCAACTGACCGTACTTGGTTACTGAGTCGGAGGGGGCGGCCCGGTCGGACTCAGTGACTCAGTCGCCGCGGCCGCTACCGACGTGCCAGTCGCCGGCCGGGACCGCCGCGGGCCGGGCCGGGCCTGTGACGGTCGGACGGACTCGCGGGCGCCACCGGCCCCCCCCCCCGGGGCCGGGGGCCACTGCGCGCGGAGGTCACCTGAGTCCGTACGGTCAGTGCCCGCCCGGGCCTAGCCTAGTATGATTGAAACCTGACCGTAAACTTGAACTTGACAAGTTACACCGGCGGGCCGATCGGACCGTTCACTCAGATCGGAACCCGGCGACGGCGTCTACGGCCGGCCCGGCCGTTGAAGTCACTAGTACTGCCCCCCCCCCGGGCCGCCGGGCCCCGGTCCGATCAATCATTGAGTGGGCGCCCCGCGGCCGCAGTGCCCGACGGCCGCGTGCCGCGGGGCGGCATACGCCGGTACTGACGGCCGTGAC